TTTGTTTTAACTTTATTCCTGTTACTGTAAATCTTTAAGAGAATTTTGATTTCATTTATCACCTCCTATAGTGTGTTTGAATATTGTGACTGTTGTGTTGTTGCAAGCAGAAGCAGGGTTTTTTTTGGTAACATCTTCTTATTGGACCAACTGTGCAGTTGGGAGATCTGGAGAAGGGCACTTTGCGCCTGAAAATTTATCTAGCATCTTTCCCAACAATACAGCTGGTTCAGTAAAAGCTGCCACAAAAAATCCCTTGCTGCATTCATAGTTCCTGTACCATCATAGACACAATGTCCCAACTCCACTACTGTTAGAAACAAACAGTTTTGCAGTTTGCTGTGCTACAAAAGCTATAAGGATAAGTCCCCAGAAAGATTCGGGCATCGTGATACTGAGCATCTGAACACCTAACTGAAGTGCTTGTTTTCTGTGGTGGAATGGGGGTAGTGTTAAGATAAGTGTCTATATTTCTTGTATAGTGCCAAATGGTGGTTAAAAATGGGATTCAAAACATCTGGCATGCTATAATGGAATCTGCCTAATTTAGTGCATAGGGAACATTGGAAAGGGAAGGAACCTATTGCTAACCCCTCTTGACTGTGGAAGCACCTATGTCAGAACAGGATTTACAGCTGAAATCCTAGTATTTAAAGTATTCCTTTCAGAACATGAGATTACTATTTTTCTTAGCTGGAGGAGATGGTGGTGGTGGTACTGCCTTTTTTCAGTTTCCTGTTGCTTAACATACATTAGTAAGTGATCCATTGTTTAGTAATGGCTGCTTGGATTCAAACAGGTAGAACTGGCTTCTTTAGGCTGCAGCTAGCTTGTTATATATCAGGGTGCTTCCATTTGAACAGAAGATCGCTTAGGTTAATCAATATGATTGCTTTCCTTAGCCTTTTGCTGATACTTCAAGGAATCCCAATTCAACATGGAGAATAAATACTGTGAGGATGGGGAGTTAAGAGTCCCAATGGGATTCACAAGACAAAACAGAATGCTTCAACTTTTGTCACTGTGTGTGTTTCGAGGGAGAATAGTTCATTTGAAGTTTTTCAGATTGGCTCCAATTTAACTTTTCTGCACTTGGACATTAGCAATAACCAGATCTGTGTGGCTAAGTAATATGATTTGGAGACTTTAATGTATGATGTGCTTAGAACAATCAAGGTAGCTCTGTTTTTTACAAAGAGGACAAAAAGGAGCTTTTCCTTTTAAGTCTAAGTTTCTTAGTGTTCTTCTGTTAAACTTGCAAGGGTTTTTTAACTACCACATTTACTTGAGTCCGAGGCAAGGTATTTTTTCCTCATTTAAACATGGAGGGGGAGAAGGCCCTTGTCTTGGATTTGAGTACAAGGAGGGGTAGGGGAAGGCAGCTGTGGTGGCTCTTACTCTGGCCCCAGTGTGGGGTTGAAATAGGAGCCAGAGCAACTGTGCCACCCCTCCTGCAACAGCTGCTACATGGCTGAGTGGGGGCCAGGGAAACAATTTGCTCCATGTCCTGGTGCTAGAGTGGGGCTGGAGCCAGAGCAGTGAGGGTGGGGGACAGAGGTGCTGGGGGGCAGGTACTGGTGGGCAGCAGGTGCCAGGGGAGCAGGCACTATGGCAGGGGGAACAAGTGTCAGGGGACACAGGCATGAAGTGCAGGTGCCAGAGGAGGCAAGTGGCAGGAGGGACAGATGCTGGGGGAGGTAAGTATCAGGGTGTGCAGACCCGGGGGGAAGGGGGAGGGGGGCAGTTAGCAAGAAGAGCAAGTAGTGGTGGAGGACATGGTAGGGGGCAAGGGGACTCCTTCACTGCCTGCCCCTCTACCACTGCTTGCCCTGTTGCAGTAAAGGTAGGGGGACAGGACACTAATTTACGATGACTCTGTAATAATTAAATTATCTACATGGAAAACTATAACAAATTCATACATTTTCCATGAATAAAATTTAATTATTGGAGTGTTGTCTTAAATCCAAAGTCATCTGGGGGTTTAGGTAAATATGGTAGAAAAGCTGTGCAAGTTCAGGAAATGCAAACGTGAGCAATGGAAATACATTATTTGACTTACCAAAATAATCTACTTATGGCATATTTCTTAATGAATGGAAACAGTTACGTCATCCATCTGATCAAGGATTTCCCAACCCTGCCAACCTTCATGTCATATGCACATTACTGTGAAAAAACAGTCACTAAACTTTTCTAGTCACAATTGCTTGCTCTCCCTCCTAAGTTGCGTACTGTCCATCTTTAGTTTACAGATGAATTGTTTCCTCTTCAGAATTACATCATCACAAAGCTTTCTTCAAAAACTGTACAACTCTCTTAATTTTGTGGCATATAAATGTGATACAGGCTCAATATCTGATGCCTTTTTCATGACTCTAATTTTTCTTCATGATCATTTCTTCTTTTTAGGGACTAGCCTGATAGTGCTGTCTCTTTAGTGGCCGTGTGTAGATGAAACGAAGGGCTTGTGTGCATGATACTTTAAAGCAGGCTAAATGCTTTTGCACCGCTTTAATGGTGTCCGTGTTTGCACACCTTGGCGGTGTATTGCACGTTAATTCTAGCTGCTGTAGGAAATTCGGTGACGTAATGTCCCTTAAATGACTTGGAGCTCAGCAAACTAAAACTCCTCCGAGGAGTTTTAGTTTGCTGCCCCTACAGCCATGAAGCAAAGCACTGGGCTCCATGCAGCTCTGCAGGAAGCTCTGCAGGCAGTCTGGCAGCAGCCTGGGAAGGCAGGCTCCTCCCAAGAAAAATGGCGAGTCTGATTTTCCCCCTTCTCTCCCCACCCAGAGCCTGCCTGCCTACTTGAGCTGCGCGAGGGCCCGGTGCTTCTCTCTGTGGCTGCAATGCCCCTCGGGACCACCCGAGTCAGGTGCTTGTGGGCAGGTGCCACCTGGGGGTGCCACTGCCACGGAGGGAAGCACCAGCCCCCCCTGCAGTGCAGGGACCACTCTGTCTGCTGGCAGCTTGCCCTCCCCTCCCCAGTGCCAGAGAGGCAGGTAAGTGCAGGGTGTGTGCACAACACAGGGGTTTACTTCAATTTTGGGCCTCCATTTTGTCTACACACTCTGTAAATTGTACTTAGTCAATTAAGGGAGGAAATTGAGCTCTGACCTGTATTACTCTTTCTTTATACTAATAACGATTGTTACATTTGTTTTGGCTGCAGTTGCTAATGTAAATCTTAGTTTTCAATATTGGGCAATTTCAGTTTATGGCCTGATTCTGCAACCACAGGTTTTCTCTATAAAATATACTTTTTGTGCCATATTAAGATTTCAGTTTTGTATGTATATGTGTTTATTCCTTTAAATGGTTCAGATGGGTAAAATCTCTGTTGTAGATGTATTTATACTAGTGTGTCTTATTCTGCTTCCCATAACTACATATGAAGAACCTTTTGTACAGCGTTGTCTCACTGAGGTAGAGGTTGTACTGCTTGAATTATATGGGCATAAATTTTTAGTTGGGGGTATACATTTTTTTAAATATAGGAAACTTTTTCATAAGCTCTTAATGTTAAGCCTATGCATAAGTGTACCTATGACTATCAGTGTTACAGGGGATGTTAAATCTAATGGTTTGTCATGAACAGGACGTTTTTTTAAAATGTATCAGCTACCATTCTAAATTACACATTCAGAAGTTCTAGTATTTAAATAAGGCAAGTTGTACTTTGGCATGTCAGCCGGTCCTGAACCTGATTAAAGTACAGCTTGCCTTATCAGCTCATGAGTTTTCAGAAGTAAACATGGTGTAGCTCATTTAAAAAAAGGAAAGTGTGTTTACAACAAGATAGTGAGCACATTGTAAAATCCCACTATAGAAGGACAGCTTGCATTTTCATAGGTAAGCTAGCTTGGATATAAAGTATCTCCAAAGCCAGATAATAGGAATTTGGACTAAGTCCTAGATGAGTCTGGATGAATTGCTCACTGAAGGCACATACTAAGTGCATATTGTGTATCTAGTTATTCATTCACAGGTCTAAAGTATCAGTGGATCTCCTTATTTATCAATGGCAGGCAAGGTTCTTTGAGTAGATGTGGTATCTTTTATTAGACCAACTGAGGAGGGTGGACAAGCTTTCAGGTGCAATCACCCTTCTTCAGGCATAGGAAGTCTCTGCTGTTCTGAGACTCCAAGGAATCAATAGGGCTCATGTCTTCAGGACCGTCAGAAGACATCAGCTTGTAGTTTGCCCCACATCATGGTTTCTTTCTGAATTTCTGCTGCTGTGTTTTCAGCTTGTTCGGTTACTAAGTGTTGGAACTTTGTTCATTAGTAGCTTTATTCTATGTTTATGGCAGTTTTTTATCTTCACTGGTGTCAAGTCATGACACCCTTTTCTATTTAATCTATCTTCCAGATTGTGTCCAGTTGGGTTCCCTGTGTTTCCGTTTTGTCCTTTGTCCTCTGTTTTTATTTGGTTTTCTGGTCAAAAGGATAATGCTGGAAACCTAATTATTAGCATTTTAAAGACTTCTATAGATAATTTCATTTTAAAAGTAGTTCATGCTGTACTTCAGATAGGCTTGTGTATGACAGTTAATGAAGGGATCTTTTCATGGGGGCTGTGTCTGCAAGGCATGTTTCTTTAAGCAGATCCTGTTTTGCTTAAAGAGTGTTTTGTTTTGTTTTTTTTTTAAGAGTGAGGGAGAAAGAAAGAGGTTTTTGTTTTTTATTTTTGTTTTTTCCTGGGGAAAGTAGTATTTATGGAACCCCACAGTATGTGTTCGGGATATCATGTACAAAGCTACTGGCAATTCAGGGCCAGTTTTTGGAACTTCAGTTTGAAGAATTGCTTTCAACCTGTCTTTTCCAACCTTGAGCTAATGCAAGTCTTGCCCACCATCCCTTAAGGTCTGGATTTCTTTTGTTCATTTTGTTTGTTTGTTTTTAACTTGCTGTTTTGCATAGTTGAAAGTCGCAGGGGAATAATTAAAGTAAATAATTTACTAGCTGTGAGCCTGGGGTTAACAGTATGGAAAAGAGATGCATGTAAATATTTGGGGTCTCAAAATGATTAAAACCTGATGGTAAGCTAAGTTGTAATTGAAAAACTTCAGTTTTTTAAAGTTTGCTTGGCATTTTGAACCATGCTTTGCTTGCCTGAGGAAATACCTGCAGAATTTTTGTGTATCAAATTAACAGTAACTTTAATAAATGGGCTACGTGTTTTTGCTGTTGTTGTTTTTAAAGGTAATTCAGCTACTTTTTGAAGCCTGTAGTTATAGTTGCCTTCATAATTGACAATAATTTTTCAGTTCTTTAGTTACCAGCAACAAAATCTTTGTTAGAGGTTTTGGTGAATGCAAGCATTTAATCAACTAGCTGCCCACAGTTGTCTTGTGCTTAGAGCAGTGGTGGCTACCTTTTCAGTAGGTGCTGTAAGATGAGCCCTGTGCTATCCTCAAGTGCCACTCAGTCCCCTTCCCTTGCCCAGGCTGCCATTCTGCTTTCTGCTTCCCTACTCAGCCTGCCATTCTGCTCTCTGATTTGCTATGTGCTGCACACATACAGGCCGTCCATGCCACTTGCAGGACACATGCTGCAGGTTAGCCATCCATGGATCAGACTTTGACACGGAGCTCTAGTCCAGACCCACTGTCTAATGTGGTAATTCAGAGTAAAATGTTATGGTCAGAAATATGCAGCAGTGCCCCATGGTTAATATGCTATTCCCAACTCAGTGTTTAGTGTTTGACTATTCTGAGGTTAAATTTGGTGTATTTTATGTTGCTCCCAAATTTTCATTATTCGGCACATTCTTTGTTTTGAAGACACAGGCTCAGAAAATAACTGTCTGAAGAGCGCTGAGAATATTGTAGTGGAGAATATTTAGGACTTCAGGAATATGTGGAAGAATAAGTTATTTTTTTCCTTTTATATCTGAAAATAACTGGTTTTGGCACTGAAAAGGAACTGCATATTTATTCTCTTCCTCTGTGTTTTTCAGCATAGATGACTATAAATGTATCAGTAGGGAGAATTCTTCATTTCTTCCGTTCCTCTCACTGTAGAAAATCTTGATAACAGTTAACTGTTTTGCCATTCCAGTTTCTGTTAACCTTGTGCACTGAAGTGGTAGGATACATTAGCTCAATGTTTCTGTTAAAATGGGAAGCAGGTACAGTAAATTGATAAGTGTCCTCACTGAAGTTAGATCCGGTGCCTCATTAAGTTGAATAGGGTGGTTCAGAACTTTGTGCTGGTCATTTCAGACAGGCATACAGCTACCTTTCAGAATATGAAAGGAACATGTGTCTGCAACCATATAGGATGGCGACTCTTTTTTTTTTTTTTTTTTTAACAGCAGCTGAATTTTGATAGTCCACTCACGCATATTTTAAAAGGACAATGTGGCAGTTCCCAGAACTGTACTTGAATTATTTAGGGGCCTTCATTCTAGCTATTTGTCTAGGCACTTTAAAGGTTTGTCTGTGCTTGGAGACTTAGACTCTGTATACAGAAATAACTGTCTCTGAATGATTCTCAGTGTGGGATACATATCTACTTTAGTAAATGTCTAACCACTGACAATCTTTAATGCTCTTTTTCCTTTGCATTCAAATTCAGATTAGTGCAATGCTTTAGATAAAACTTGGGAAAACTTTGGTGGCTTCAATGAATAACTTCAGTGAACCTCTCAGTTTAGACTGTGAACTCTGTTTTGGGAACCTGTCAGTCTCAATACTGTGTGAATATCTAAAGAAGAAACAATACTTAAAATGAGACAAAGGGAACTTTTTCTGCTTCTCTTATCCAATTGTAAGAGAGATCCAATGGCAGGTTTTGAAAGCAATGTTACAAGTCCTCCCTTTTTATACACTGGCGTCTGAAGGATGGACCTTCCTATTCAGTTTTTACATTATTGGCTTTGTAAGTTTAAAAGCATATTCTGTATTTGTGTAACTCTGATAGCCTAGGTACAGGGAATTGCTTGACCCCAATTTGTGATATTACAGGAAAACTGATTAAGTCCTAACTGAGGAGCATAACTTTGCAGTTTTGCTTTTGAACAAATCCAAACACACAGTTTTCTGTACCAGTTTATCTCATTTTAGAAGCCAGTATTGTTTAAGTGGTCCATTTCCTCACTGTGGATGCATTTTTGTGAAAGCTGTCTTATTCCACCAACCTAATGAAGTTGTCTCGTAAAAGTTTGTCTAACTATCCCAAATATTCAGTTGCTCCAGTAAAAGAGAACAACCTGAAAAATCCTTACCTCTTGCATAATTACTGGACCATCATGGCTGCATCTTCATTCTAACACTAGCAAGAATGATAAAATTTGGGAAAAGGGCTTCTCTTATATTGCCACCTTTACTGTGCTTCTAGAAGTACTAAAAGGTTTATCAAATGTATTCACATCAATGACTTTCAATTGCCAGGTAAGTCTGGAATTGTAATTCATTTTCATCGTCATACACGGCCTACTTCTTTCACTTGAGCTGATTGTTTAATGACTTAATGTAATTTTTCTTTCTGATATCTTCAGGAAGGGGGAACCCCCTCCCCCCACTAGCTTCTTAATGAATTGATGTAAATTAGAAGGCAAAGTTGAACTCTTAAGTACAGGAAATGCAAAGCCTGTTTTACTGGCTTGATCAGTAGACAGCTGCAGGGTAATCAAAAACTTATGTGCCTCTCCACAGCAGATAATGCCAGCTAGTATGTAGGGAGTCTAGCTTCATCACTCCCCTGCTCTCCCTCCCACTGAGATGGTTTTCAATAAGCTGAGAGCTGCTTTCTTTCTCTGATATATATTTCCTTGTGTTCGTGTTCCTTTCATATGCTGTCAGGTGCACCAGCACAATTTCTGGGCCCAGGAAACATTAAAAGTTCAAAAGATCCTTTATTACCTTTCACTTTTCTCCCCTCAGAATCTCCACTTAATTGACAGCCACAGTCCTATGACCTTTGGCTTAACCAATCATGTACCTAGGAATAACAACATTAATACTGCTTCCGACATCAATTGCAGCTTTTTGGCGTGTGTGTGTGCTGAATCATCAAAATAAGAAAAGGAAGAAAAAAACAGAATGGGAAGAGACCTCAGGAAGTCATCTAGTCCATCCCTTTTGCTTAGTGCAAATCCCTAAAATCATTCCTGGAACATGCATGTAGGTAATCTGTTTGAGTGATAAACCACCCTCACAGTTATAAAGTGCCTAATATCCAACCTAAATCTGTCCTTTTTATCAGGTTGAGTCATCCTTACATCATCTAGGCCAACATCTTCAAAGTATAGTCAAATTTTAATTTTTCATTTGGACATGCTGGTCAGATTGTGCAAAGCACTTTCAGTTTTTGATTGTGAAACGCATGAT